TCCCTCCCTCCCTTCCTCCCTTCCTTCCTAAATTGCCCAGTCTGACCTTGAACTGGCTATATACCACTATTGTTTTTGTACTCATATCTCTTCTTCTGTGACCTCCTTAGTAGCTGGAAAGCCTGCATCTGACCAAGCTGAGTGTCCATCTTGGGTGAGTGAACATGATCTAGTTTCTCTTGCCAGCCTGCGTAGCTGAGGTAGAAACTAGTCAAGTGTGGTGTGAGGAGAGACAGGGATGGTTGATGCGGGTCGAACTGTGTGATTCTTTTCTCTGGCAGCTAACCCAACCATTAGATTATTTGTGAAACCAGCTTCAGTGAGAAATGATGAAGAGAAACATATTATATGTGAGCTATATGGATTCTACCCAGAAGCCGTTAGCATAAAGTGGGGGAAGTACACCCTGAAGGATTCCCAGTTCCAAGAAATTACTGAGGGCAATATCACTCATCCCACGGTGAAGAATGATGATGGCACGTTCAGTGTTACCAGTTGCTTGACTCTGAAGCCATCTCTGGAAGACCATGGGACTACCTACCAGTGTGTGGTGTTGCACAGATCCTTGCTTGTCCCCCGAAGGCACAATGTCACTCTGTCTGAGAAAGGTAAGTTCCCATGCTCTCTCTACTCGATGACACGTGACTGAACACTTGGGATTCTGAGAAGTCTAGGATCTTTGCTAGGGAAGGAGAGGAAGTTGGAGTCTAGCTCAGCTCAGACCCTGGGGTCAGCAGTTCAGGTTTATATCCTGTACCTGGGCCAGCAGCCCAGAAATAGAGGGGAAGTTGCATTATCAGGGCTCAGGACTGCATTAGAATCTGGATTGTTCCCATGGCAGGGAGTGGGAAGCTTGCCAGCTCTTTGGAGACTAGGGCCAGCATCATCTTCTGGGGATAACAGTCCAGGGACCAGTCCTGCCAGCACCCTTTCTAGTCAGGCTGTAGGTTTCCATCAGCGATTGTTGGATGTTTAAAGCCAGTCAGTAGTTCTTTCCTGTGGGCTGTGTGTCAAGATGAGGAGGCCACAGAAACTTGTCCTGATGATGTAGAAGCTAAGGCTTCCTACAGATGCACCAAACTCTTAGGCTAACCTACTGTAGATATGGTTTTCCTGGGAAGGGGAGGTTTTTGAGCTCATATACTTCTCTGCAATTGATCCTGATAATCAGACACATCTTCATGAACTGAATGAAGAAGGTAAAGGCTGAATAGGGTCCCAGGGGGATGTGAAGTGATGTATCTGTGCCAGGTGAGCTGTGGATGCTTCTACATGGAGATGGGATTGTTCTTAGAGTAAGGACTGGAAGCATGTGTGGGTGTAAAACAAAGATGGTCTGTGTGTCTAATATGCATTTTTATCTGGGTGCACATGTTATATGATATAGTCTAGAACTCATGAAGTTGTGTGTGACATATTATCTTTGATATTTCTTAGACCATATTTTCTCTCTCATATATATCTTCCTCTCTTTTCTTCCTTTCTCCACTTCTTTCTTTCTTTTACATTTATTTATGCTGTGTTTGTATATGTATATATGTGTAGACATTCACCATGGTGCCGGTGTGGATGCCAGAGGACAAATCTGTAGAGCCACTTCTTTCCTTATGTGGATAGCAGGGACCCAACTCAATCACCTTAACCTACTGAGCCATCCCAACAGGCCTTGAATTTGCTATGTTGTCTAGGATGAACTTGAACTGTCGATCCTCCAACTTTCACTTCCACAAGGCTGCAATTATAGGCCTGTGTCACCACACCTGGCTTCATGCAGTGCTGAGGCTGCATAAAGCAAAACCCAGGGTTTTGTGCATTTCAGACAAGCACTCTACCATTGGAGCTACATGCCACCCTCCATCTTTAATTAATTATTTTTTCCAAGCCTGATCACAGTTTCCCCCCTTCCCTCCTCTCCTCCCAGTTCCTCCCCCAACCTCCTCCCCCCCATCCACTCCTCCTTTCTCTTCAGAAAAGGGAAAGCTTTCCATGTAGATTAGCTAGCCATGGTATATCAAGTTTCAGCAGGGCTAGGTACCTCCTCTCCTATTAAGGCTATACCAGGCAATCTAGCAGGAATAAAGGATCCCCAAAGCAGGTAACAGTCAGAGCCAGCCCCTGCTTCCACTGTTAGGAGTCCCACAAGAAGACCAAGCTATATAGCTGTCACATATATGCGTTAGGTCTAGGTCAGTCCCATGTAAGCTCCCTTGTAGCATGAATCTGAAATGGTCTTAATAAAAACAAACCTGGAGCCAGGTATTGGGGTGAATGCTGGAAGATCAGAGAAACAGAACAAGCCACAGCCACCTCACCTCACCAGTTCCTCAGCTGATCCTGTTTCCTCAGACTGGAAGCCTCTGTGTCCTCATCTGAATGGCTCTCAGCTGAACTGCTGCTCAAAAGCCTAAAAACTTAACCAGCACTAGTTCCTGGTCCTCATGCCTTATATACCTTTCTGCTTTCTGCCATCATTTCCTGAGATTAAAGGCTCACTTCTTGGGATTCAAGGCATGAGTCACCATGCCTGGCTGTTTCCAGTGTGGCTTTGAACTCACAGAAATCCAGATGGATCTTTGCCTCCCAAGTGATAGGATTAAAGGCGTGTGTGCCACCATTTTCTGGCCTCTATGTCTATCTAGTGGCTGTTCTGTTCTCTGACCCCAGATAAGTTTATTAGGTTGCACAATATTTTGGGGAACACAATATCACCACACTCTCTGGTTGACAGGTCAGTCTCTGTGAGCCCCTAGGAGCCCAGGTTAGTTGGTTCTATGGTTTTCTTGTGGTGTCCTTGGCTCCTCTGGTTTTCACAATCCTTCATCCCCTTCTTCCACAGGATTCCCTGAGGTCCACCTAAAGTCTGGCTGTGGGTTTTTGCATCCGTTTTGATCTCTTCTGGGTGAAGCCTCTCTGATGACAATTGGGCTGGGCAACAATCTATGCGTATAGCAGAATATCATTAGGAATCATTTAGTTGATTTTTTTCCTTTTTTTTTTTTTTGCCAGTCATGTTTGGTCTATCCCAGGTCCTGGCCCTCCAGGCTGTGCCAGGGGTTGGCTTCCTCTTGTGGTATGGTCATAAGCTGGACCAGTTATTGGTTGGCCATTCCCATACTTTCTGTTCCACCTTTACCTCAACATATCTTATAGGCAGGGAAAATTGTAGGTCAAATGTTATATGGCTGGGTTGGGGTCCCAATCCCTCCACTGGGAGTCTTGTCTGGTTACAGGAGATGGCTGATTCAGGCTCCGTATTTCCCATGACTAGGAGTATTAGCTAGGGTCACCCTCACAGACTCCTGGGAGTTTCCATTGTACTAGGTTTCTAGCTCATCCCAGAGATGCTCCTGTTTCCAGTTTCTTTCCCAGTACTCTCTCCCTCCATCCTTCCCCCACCTGATTCTTCCTGTTCCCGTGCCAACTCCCCATCCAGACCCCTCTCCTCTGTCCACTGTGATGTCTATTCTATTTCCCCTTTGTAGTAAGATTCATGTGTGCCCCCTTGAGCCCTTACTTGTTACTTAGCTTTTTTGGGTCTGTGAATTGTAACATGGTTATCCTTTAATTTATGGCTAATATCCACCACAATATCCACCATATATAGTGAGTACATACCATGTTTGTCTTTCTGGGTCTGGGTTACATCACTTAGGATGATCTTTTCTAGTTTCATCCATTTGTCTGCAAATTTCATGCTGTCATTGTTTTTGACAGCTGCATAATACTCCATTGTATAAATGTACCACATTTTCTTTATCCCTTATGTTGATGGACGTCTAGGTTGTTTCCAGTTTCTGGCTATTATAAATAAAGCTGCTATGAACATAGTTGAACAAGTGTCTTTACAGTATAGTAGAGTGTCCTTTGGGTATATGCCCAGGAGTGGTATAGCAGGGTCTTGATGTAGGTCAATTCCTAGTTTTCTGATTTCCAAAGTGGCTGTATAAGCTTGTACTTCCACCAGCAGTGGAGGAGTGCTCCCTTTGCTCCACATTCTTGCCAGCATGAGCTGTCACTCATGTTTTTGATCTTAGCCATTCTGACAGGTGTAAAATGGAATGTCAGAGTCCCTTTGATTTGCATTTCCCTGATGGCTAAGGATGTTAAACATTTCTTTAAGTGCTTCTTGGCTACTTGAGATTTTTCTGTTGAGAATTCTCTGTTTAGATCTGTACCCCCTTTTTAAAATTGGATTATTTGGTTTGTTGATGTCCAATTTCTTGACTTCTTTGTATGTTTTGGAAATTAGCCCTTTATCAGATGTGGGGTTGGTGAGGACCTTTTCCCATTATGTAGCCTGTCATTTTGTCCTTTTGATGATGTCCTTTGCCTTAAAGAAGCTTTTCAGTTTCATGAGGTCCCTTTATTAATTGTTGATCTTAGTGCCTGCAGGAAGTTGTTGCCTGTGTCAATGTGTTCAAGACTATTCCCCACCTTTTCTTCTATCAGAGGCAGTGTATCTGGCTTCATGTTGAGGTCTTTATCCATTTGGACTTGAGTTTTGTGTGGAGTGATATATAAGTATCTACTTGCATTCTTCTACATGCTGACAACCACCAGCACCATTTGTTGAAGATGCTTTCTTTTTTCATTGTATATTTCTGGCTTTTTTATTAAAATCATGTGTCCATAGATATGTGGATTAACATCTAGGTCTTCAATTCAGTTCCATTAATCAATCTGTCTGTTTTTATGTCAATACCATTTGGGTTTTTATTACTATTGTTCTGCAATACAAGGGTTTACCATGTAGCATGGGTCAGTTGAAGAAAGAAGACACTTCCAAGATGAAATTTTAAGGCCTATGTGGCAACAGGAAGGTCCAGCGTCTTCTGATGGACTGAACACCGAAAAGCCATACAAAGGCATGTTTATTGATTGTTGCACAAAGTATTTCCCCATACCAAGGTCCCTAATCTTAATTTACACATCTTATTGAAGCAGAGCATCACATCCCTCCATAACTCTAGTCCTTTATTATGTATCATATGCAATACACAATAATACAAGAGCCTCAGGTGTACCTGGGGTGTCTTGTGACCAAAGTCATGGAATGGCTGAATGAAGCCCCTTCAGCAGAACAATTATTGTTTTCCACAAGGATTCTTCAAGGTCAAAGTACTTCTAAAAAAACAGCTGTACATTCTAATATCTATCCTATACAGTGATTCTGCTAAATTCTTAAAACAACCTCCAGAAGTTCCTTTATTGTACAGGATTGTTTTAGCTATCCTAGGTTTTTTGTTTTTCCATAAGAAGGTGAGTATTGTTCTTTCAAGTTCTGTAAAGAATTGTGTTGGGATTTTGATGCGAATTGCATTGAATCTGTAGATTGCTTTTGCTAAGATGGCCATTTTTACTATGTTAATCCTACCAATCCATGAGCCTGGGAGATCTTTCCATTTTCTGATATCTTCTTCAACTTATTTCTTCAAAGACTTGAAGTTCTTGCCATACAGGTCTTTCACTTTCTTGGTTAGAGTTATTCCAAGATATTTTATATTATTTGTGGCTATTGTGAAGGGTGTTGTTATCCCAATTTCTTCCTTGGCCCATTTATCATTTGGGTATAGGAGATCTACTGATTTTTTTGAGTTTATTTTTTATC